TCTTTGATTGGATAAATATAGCCATAACGGGAGTAATCATCTGTGAATGTTATGAATGAATCATAACCATCCACACTCTTTACAGGAAACGGACCACAGATGCCTATGTGAATAATCTGTAGAATTCCTGCACTTCGTTGGGCATCTTTCTTAATTTCCTTTACATACTTTCCTTTAATGCATTCTCTGCATTGTTCTAAATCTGAGAACTCTAATGGAGGAAGAATATCATTCTTAACTAGTCTTTCTATTCTCCCCTCGAAATATGGCCCAAACAACAGTACCATAATTTCGACAATGCATCGTGAGCTCTCTTTCGTTTTCTGTTTACATCCGCAGACGAGGATACATTCACATTGTCGCACGCAACTTTCCCATTATCGCATACAGCATTCACATCATCACGTAGTGATAACAAATAAAGCTCATTTTGTAAGATAACATGACCAACACATGCATTATTAAATGTTATCTTACATTTGCCATTCCCAAAATGGCAATCATATCCATCATTGTCTAAGCATGAAACACTAATCAAGTTCCTCTGTAACGAGGGAACATAAAAAACATCTCTAAGTATAAGTTTGAAACCATCAGCAAGCTCTATAGAAAGATCGCCAACGGCTTCAACTTCTGCTCGGACTCCATTTGTGACTTTAACATGTCTTTCGCTTCTTTCCGTAGTCCTCGTCGAATGGAATCCCTGTAAAGAATTAGCAACATGAACAGTTGCACCCGAGTCAATCCACCAAGTAGATTTCAAATACTGTACATATAGGGATTCATTTATGAACGTAATAATGTTCTCACCCTTCTTTGCCATGATCATCTTTAGGTAATCAAGACAATCTTTCTTATAATGTCTCGTCTTCTTGCAGTAGAGACATTGCTCTTTCTCTACTGTAAACTTGTTTTGCTGAGGCTGATGCAGCATGGGACCCTTTCCCTTTGACTTTGAGGAGATGTTAGCATTAAGATTCTTTTTCTTATTGTCTTTCAAATAATTGATAGAACCACCATTGGCAGCTTTCATTCTCTCCTCTTCTTGCACACACATAGCCATGAGCCTCTCCATGTCCCATTTCTCGGGTTGTATGTTGTAGTTGACAATAAAAGTGTCAAACTCTTTTGGCAAGGAAGCAAAAATCAGATGGATAAGGAACTCATCCTTGAGAGCCAGATCCATTGGTTTTAGCTTGGATGCCAAATTGCTCATCCTTAGTATGTGCTCTCTAATGCCACCATTACCTGAGTACCTCTGTGTTACCAGCTGCTTTATCAGCTGGGTAGCATATGTCTTTGAAGAGCCAGTGAAATGACTCTTTATTCTTTCGAGATACTCGGTGACGGTGTCACACTCTGGGATTGAGCCCACAATTGCAGGCTCAATCGTGTTCTTTATCACAGCCAAACACTTCTTGTTGGCAGTGACCCACTTCCTATGCTCAAGGTCATAGGACATTCTTTGGGATGCAAAATCCCTCTCTCTAGTTGCCCAAGCGGCATCAGCCTCGTTTGTCTCCCTCACCGGTGCCACAGGCTCTGTGGGACACGGTGTGGTGACTACCTGGTCCACCTCAGCCAAGATAAAGGCCAGGTCGATCTTTTTCTTTCACTCAATGTAGTTATCACCTTTGAGAGTGGGGATTTCTTTGATACAAATCATCAAGTTGTATCCACCTGAAAACATAATTCAAATAGTGTGAGAACATAAATAATAACAATAACAATTGCATGCCTTAGTTTCAACGTTGGTCAAAATTAAAACATATAATTTTTCTCTACACTAATATTCTACATCACCGTTGGGCAGAAATAGAATTAATGCAAGACAAAACATCGTAATATTGCCATTAATCAACGTTGGTCAGAATAATAACAATATTATAATCAATTAAAACATATCTATTTTTCAAAATTAAATCCTCCTGTTGGTTCGAATTTAATAATGAAAATAATATCTTTAAATACGCAGCGGAATAAATGAACTCATTTTCTCGAATTTTACCCACAGGGAAAAATACTTTTTCTATTTTCTTTTGAGCCAATTTCTATTTTTCAATTTTCTAGAAAAAAGAAAATGCGAAACCGGGCTCATTCTTTACTGTTTCGGCCCAAAACAGGCAAAAGCCGGCTCGGCCCATCGCTCCGCGCGCGCGCAGGCCGCACCCAGGCCGCAACCTGGGCCTAGGCCGGCAAAGCCGCGCTGCCCCACGCCCCCGCCTAGGCTGCAAAATGGCCCGATCAATCTCGACCGTTCATCCAGCATCGGACGGTCGCGCGTCGACTTCGGGTGAATAAAAACCGCCGACGCCGGCCTCCAACCGAAACCCTAACTCATTTTCTCCTCTGCTCTCTCTCTCTCTTCGCCGCTCTCACTTCTCTCCTCAGCGCACCATAGCGGCAACTGAGTCGAAGACGGTGGAATGAGTAGAGCCTCGGCGCCGTCGCCGGCCCCCTCGCCGGCGTGCGTGCTCCCCAGCGAGTGAGCGCGCCGCCGTCGAGCGGCCTGGCCACGGCGCCCCTTTTTGGCTGGAGTCCGGCGAGCTGCACCCCCGACTCGGTCTTCTTTTCCCCACGTGCCGGCGTGATAGCAGCGCTGCATAGCGGCGAGGTAGGCCACCCCTTCCCCTTCTTCCCCTTTTGGATTTACTTCGTTTGTTCGGATTCAACCGATTTGAGGATTAGGGTTAGGGTTTTACTGTTTCTCTTCCCCGTTGAAGACTTTTACGGGTTTAGGATTCGGCTCTTACGTTCTTAAGGCGGAAACCCTCTTCTTTTTATCCTTTTCTTAACCCAGTTAGGGTTCAACCGAACCTTCTTTCCTTAACCCAGTTAGGGTTAGGGTTCATCTGAACCCTCTTTCCTTTTCTCAGATCCGAACGGATCTAAACTGATAAGCTAGATCTATTCCTAAACCTGTCTCTGATACCATTGTTCGTATCTTTGAATCACTAGGACCATAGATCTAGCCGGGGTGCTATTCGGTATAAGAGAAGCAGTACATTCTAATGCATGTAGAACTAGGATCACTGCTGTTCATTTTGTTATTTGGTTAGGAATGTATGTTTACATGGAGCACGCAGGACCGCCTGGTGATGTATATCCGTGTCTGACGTTTGAGGTGAGATGAAGTGAATTCAAGCAACCACACCAACCACCTAGTCATAAGTCATGCGTACATGTCTCTGCTTATAATAGAGACTACCTTCTGCCTCCAACATCGCTCGACCCTCCAAACGACAGTTGCGCCTAGTTTAGTTCATCTCCTTGTATGTAGTACATAAAAGGCAATTTTTGCTGTGGGACATCGCGAAAACAACAAATTGGCTGCAACACACCGCCAACACTTGCTTTTGCTGAGTACCATTATGAAATTGCGAATGTTTGCCAGTGGACACCGCCTCCATTAAAATAAAGAAAAACAGCAATCGGGAGAGAGAAAGCACAGTAAAGAGACGTTTTTATGTACCCCTGCCGGCCTGAGTCCTATCATTTAGGTGGTCCGATTGGACCAGCTCGGCTCGGCCCCGGTCATCTTCTTCCTTCCCCCGTTCTCGTTCTCGTCAGTCTCTCTCCCCATCCTCATTCCCATCTCGACGAACCCTAGCTTCGAGCCATGGCATCGAGCTCGCATTCCACACCGTTCGGCGCGCCGCACCCAACTTTGCCGTCGCTCGACCCCTACAGAGACCAAGCTGGATTCTTGCCCTTGGTTCCTTGCCACAAGTCTGTAACCGTTTTCATCGGTAGCGTGTCGCGAGAAGCTTTGCAAAGAAGGGAAGAGGTTTTACAAGTGTCCACCGCTTGAGCATGTAAGTGGTCGTTGACTTCTGATCTGGTTTTGAGGAGATGCGCATTTTTTTGATTTTTCATCTCTTGTTTGCCAGACCGACTTTGCGTGTGGAGTGTACTACTTTCAGGAACAGTATATCAATTACTTGGTCGCCAAAGGCGTTCTTCCTCGTGCTTGTAGTCAGGTTCGAGTTCAGGGTGCCATGGCGCTCGAGGTGATGAGGGAAGGCAATGACAAGGAGAAGGCCTGCCAAGGATTTGATGGCTGCCAAGATCTGTTGGAGACTGCAGTGATTCATCTCCATGGTTCGGAGGCACTCTCAAGTCGAGTGCCAGAGCAGCAACAAGAAATTGTTGACCAACATGAATAAAATTGGAGAGCGGCTGCTTGTAGTTGGTGGTGTAATGGTTTTCGTTTTGGTGTTAGTTCTATTAGTGTTGTTGGTCAAGTGAAGCAGAATAGCAGGTTGTCATGTATCCTGGTTATCATGTATCCAGTTAGTGTTGTTGGTCATGGTCATGAACATGTATCCAGTTAGTGTTGTTGGTCATGAACATGTATCCAGCTTATCTGTACCTTGTTTGAAATCAATGATGCATCTTAACTATGTTGCAACAAAATGGTCTGCCAAATTGTATCTGAGTTCATGAATGATGGGGCAAGAAAATGGTGTGCCAAATTGTTGCAAAAACATGCATCTAGGTTTAATTTGATCACTTCACACAACAAAGTCTGCCAACTGAGTTCATGATTGAGATTGCATAACTAAGTTCACAGGTTCATCACACTACATAACAGGTTCACCACAAAATAGATCCATTACATAAGACATGCATCACAGGTCCAGGATGAGCTTCTTCTTGCTGATCCTCTTGCCGGCCTTGCTTGCCTCCTTTTCCCCAGCCTGCATTTCTTCTCCAGTAGCCTTGGTGGTCACCACCTTTTTCTTCTTCTTCTTTTGATGCTGCACTTATACTATTGGGGAGGAAGTTTCACCACCTAGCTCCAATGCCCTCTTGCGGCTGTAGTCATACCCAACATTAGAAAGATAAATAACAGTATGTTGTCATAGATAACAGGCATCAAGTCTTTACACTTACCTCCTAGTGTTTGCTGCGGGGCTGTTTGTTAGAGCTGGTGGTGCAATGTTTGCTGGGCTGTTTGTTAGAGCAGGACAGACAGTTGTTTCTTGAGCACCTTCAATCTATGATTGCTGGGTAGAGACAGTTGTTGTGGCAGTGCTTTTCTTTTTCTTTGCTCTCTTGGGCTTTGGTGGTGCTGGTGGTGGTGCATCAGAGTCATAAATAGTTTCATTACAGGTCTTCATCATGTGACCAAACCCTCCACACCTCTTGCACTGGCGCTGGCTTTTTTGCTTGCCACCTTCTTCAGAACCTTTTATCCTTCTTGATCTGGGCCGACCTGCTGCTCTCTTGAACCTTGGAGGCCAAAGTTTGAAACCCAAGTCCACATCAGGCCACTGGTTCCTATCTGTCATGGGACTTATCACATGTTCATATGCTTTCTTGAACTTATCAACCGAATAATAGTCATCTATGTAGTCTTCCACACTTCTGTTGCGCATGGAATGGATGAAGCAGAGAGCATGAGTACATGGCAATCCAGTAATCTGCCACCTTTGACAGCTGCATGATCTATTATCAAGGTCGACAGTATGCCTCCAGGTTTTCAGTTCCTTTGTAGTGCCTTGAATCTCAGCAGCGTTGTTGGGCCCCCTATGTATGGCATACTGTAAATTCCTACTCATGGCATGCAGCTCTTTGGTGACATGAGGCAAGATCTTGTCTCTCAGCTTAAGTGACAGTGACCTCCTAAGGTCTTGTTTCTCCATGATCATTTGCCTGATCCTATTCAATAGAGGAATTAAAGCCAATGACTTCTCATTCCTAATCTAACTGTTGAAGGTCTCTGCTATGTTGTTAGTAACATAGTCACATTTGCTTGCATGAGAGAACTTCCATCTACTCCATATGTGCTTGTGGTTGTCCTCTATCTAGTTCATTGCCCTTGGTGAAGCTTGCTTCATGATGTTGTAATGGTGATCAAAGTGCCTCTGGTTGTAAGCTCTGCTTGCTGGCCATAAATGTTTCTTGAACACTACTCCTCTTGTTAAAATTCTTCACTAGATGCCTCATGCACTCTCTATGCTCTACTCCATTTGGGAAAACATATGTAACTCCCTTATCTATTCCTTTGCCTGCATCTGTGCATATGACCAGGCCTGGAGGAGTCCCAATTGCCACTTTAAGTTTATCATTTCCAATTTTTAGCAGTTTCAGACTCAAAGACACCATATGCCACTAGAAAAAGCCAGTTGTGTCCATCCATAGCTGAAGCAGAAGCTAACTGCCCTCTCCACCTCCTAGTCAAAACTGTTGAGTCAACACCTAAGAAGGGTCTGCATCCATTCAAAAAACCTTGAACACAGCTCTTAAATGCAACAAACATCCTTGTGAACCTCCTCTTATTACCAGCCAGTATCCACTCAATGTCCACAATGCTACTAGGATTTGTCCTGTCCACCTCAGCCTTGAATCTAAAAACATCTTCAAAGCTGTCATCCCATTTTCCTTGAATTTGCTCTAGAGCCATTTGCAGTCCATCCCAGACAACATAGTATGAAAGTTGGATGTTGTACTTGTTCTGCAAATCCTTCCTCAGTTTACCAGCTTGAATTGTTGGTTCATCCTTCAGGATGGTAATGGCCCTGTCCCTCACCCAGGCATTGGTAGCCATGCAGTTCTTCTCCAGTTGGGATGTGCTGGCACAAGTATGTTTTCCCAACTTCTTTATCTGACAAATAAAAGGAAGGCAAAGCATCAAACACTACTACAGGATTGAATTTGCGCAGCATTGCACTTTTGGCCTCCGTGGCGGGCACTGAGTTTGCCCGCCATGGTACATACAGCGATTTACCGAGGCGGACATTTTTTATTTACCGTGACAAAGTTTTTTTGCCCGCCGCAGTAAATCAATTTACCGCGGCGGGCGCCTAAAGATGTCCGCCACAGAAAATACCCTATTTACCGTGGTGGACGTCTTAAGGCGCCCGCCACGGTAAATCGATTTATCGCGGCGTGCGCGTAACGACGTTCGCCACGGAAAATACCCTATTTACTGTGGCGGGCGTCTTAAGGCGCCCGCCACGGTAAATCGATTTACCACGGCAGGCGCCTAAAGACGTCCGCCACGGAAAATACCCTATTTACCATGGCGGGCGTCTTAAGGCGTCCACCACGGTAAATCGATTTACCGCGACGGGCATCATTTAAGGCCCGCCACGGAAAATCGGAGGCCTAATAGCAAAGCGAGGCCCACTATTTCCGTCGTCATATATATACACAGACTCGCACTCCCAGCAGCCGCGCCTCCCTCTCTCATCTCACTCTCTACGCCGCGACTCCCTCCCCTCCCCGACTCCCTCTCTCTCTCCGCGTGGGGCAACGACGGCGCGCTGGGCGATGGCACGCGCGGGGCAACGGCGGCGCGCTGGGCGATGGCACGTGCGGAGCAACAGCGGCGCGCGGGGCTACGGTTTCGGATCCGGTAGGCCAGCGGCACGGAGGACGTCGATCCGAGGTAGGTGAGTTCATCTCCCTCTTCCTCTCCATCTCCCTCTTCCTCTCTCCATCTCCCTCACTCCTCCCTCTTCCTCTCTCCAGATCCGGCGGCGGCGACTTCCTCCTCCACGGATCGTGGGACGGCAACGACGAGCCCGTCCTGAGGCGGATTTGGCCGGTGGCGGCGCGTGGTGACCGGATCTGGCCGGTGACGGCATCCCGAGGCGGATCCGGTCGGTGGCGGCGCGCGGTGGCCGGATCCGGCGGGCGAGGACGGTTCGGCGCGGCGGCCTCCCTCCACCACGGCCTCCTCTTCTCCCTCCCCGAGCGGCATGGATCTGCAGCCGTGGGAAGCCCGGAACCGTCGCCGGTGGGCTCGCCAGTGGGCTCGAGAACGGGCTCGCCGGCGGGCTCCTGTTTTTTTTGTTTTTTTAAATGATTAACCGCAGCGGGCATCCTAACGTGCCCGCCGTGGTAAAAGTATATTTACCGCGGTAGGCGCGTTACACCGCCCGCCGCGGTAAATCGGTTAACCGCGGCGGGCAAGGCCGCCCGCCGCGGTTAAGCCACGATTTACTGTGGCCTCTAGGCCACGGCGGACGGCTTTGCCCGCCGCGGAAAACCAAAAACGTCCGCCTCCAATAAAGTTTGTGTAGTAGTGAAACAGATGTTGGGAAAAATAAGAACCAAAATGTAAGGAAATTTGAAAAAGAAATAAACTGACCTGCCAAGTCTTGCCATCTTGCAATTGAGAAGCATGTATCCTCCACTTGCACCTCTTCTTCTTGCTCTTGAATCCTTTGCAGTGCCCTCTATACCTTTTGGATTCACTGTAAGGAGCTGCAATTTCAAACTCTTTTAGCACAGCATATTGTCTAATAGCCCTCTTAAAGGTGTCCCCATCCTCAAATGTGACACCACATTCTATAGTTGGGTTTTCTAAGTTAGTAACATGCTCATTGATCTCACAACCAGCATCATCATCAACATACAAATCATCATGAACAAGAGAGTCAGAGTCAGTATCCCCCTCTGATGCTTGTTGATCTTGCTGTTTTGGCATATAATGGCCCTCATCATTGACCCCAACATACTCCTCAACATCTTCTTCCCATGAAACATCATCATCAGCATGCTTCTTCTTGCTTCTTCCTTGAGCAGGTGTGGATTTCTCAGCTGAGTCATCAGAGTTAGAAGAGTGAACACTGTCATCATCACTTTCTCCCCCACTAAGTGACTCCACATCGGCCTCACCTCCACCAGGCCCAACAGTTTCAACAATCTGATTGTTCTGCCCATCATCATGACCAAGCAGAGGGGGCAGCAATGAGAGAGCAACAGATGCACTGGCCTCATTATCCAAAGACACACTCTGACTATATGCAATAGGAATCATGTCATAAAAATTCACAAACAAAGGTAGCCGCCTTAGGTGCCAATAATTGTTAGTAGCATCCATCAAAGCTGCATCTGAGGTTAGATTGGTATAGCATTGGGTGTTCTTGTCGAAATATGTCAAATTGAAGCCCTGATTCTTCCCAATAGACACTTTGGCAGCTACATCCTTACTTAAATCAATCAGATTCAGAGTGTCCCTATCAACAATGAGCTGAAAATCTGCTGCATTGTGAGCCACATTTCTACCGTCATCGCAAGCCTCATAGTAACATGGGACACGCACTGCTATGCGTAATGCAGAACTACTGTCCATCCTAAAACATGGACAAGAACAAGAAATCATGAAAACCCTAGCTTCAGATGCGCAAATCGACCCTCAAGTTCACTGCAACCCTGTTAACCAACCCCAGATCGAAAAGTGGAAGAGGATAAGAGTGCATACCCTTGGACGGTGAATCTATGCTCGGGCGGAGCCGCTTCGATTTCACCGGCGAAGCCATCTTCATGCATCCATGGCACGCCGACTGTGGGGAAGAGATGGCGGTGTGGGCGGTAGGAGACGGCGGCGTGGTTGGCTGGAGACGGCGGCGCTGCGGGAGACTGGAGACAGCGACGTGGGTGGCTAGAGATGGCGGCGCTGCGGGAGACTGGAGACGCCGGCGCTGCGGGAGACTGGAGACGCCGCCGGCTAGGGTTGGATAGAGCACAGGGTCTGGTTCGACCAAGTAGTGGTCCGGCTCGACCAACAGGGTCTGGTTCGACCAAGGGGCAACGTTGGTCATTTTGGAATGTTTCTCTCTCCCGATTGCTGTTTTTCTTATTTTAATGGAGGCGGTGTCCACTGGCAAACATTTGCGATTTCATAATGGTACTCAGCAAAAGCAAGTGTTGGCGGTGTGTTGCAGCCAATTTGTTGTTTTCGCGATATCCCACAGAAAAATTGCCTACATAAAAATAGGCCGGAGCTCAAGGAGCAAACCATGTGTTGGAACGGACGTATCGATATCATAGTCCATCGGAATAGGAGGAATCAGGAACTCCGTCTGTTGTAGAATGCTATTAAAATGCTACTCAACTGCTGCAGATGTCAGCCGCTGCTAATTCGATTCACGGTGCCTCAGATACAGTGGCGTGGGCGGGCTGCAGAGCTGATTCTGTCCCCTTCCCATGATCTGCAATTCGAACCCTGTACCTCGGCCCTTCTGCAGGTGGTCTGCTTCACCGGGTGGCTGCCGCGAGACAAATGCTGTGCATCTGAAATTACAGGCAGCTATTTCCCTTTTTCTTCGACTAAGCTTAGCGAGGATCGGATCAGGTAATGCAAAGAGAAGAGCACAATCGCAACAGCTTGCTGGTACCATTATATTGGAAGTCTATACCAAGCAGAATAATTAACATGCAGGCCACACCCATGCATATGAATTAATAATTAGGGGGCAGGCTCCACGTGCTGGCATACTCCAGTGTCTGGACGCCATAGCGTGCGTGCCTGCGAGGTCACTGCACTGCTACTCCCTTCCCACCGTCAAATTAAATGCTGCCCACACAGCCGCCACTGTCCCGGCCGACTTCTTAACGACGACGCAAGCATATGACATCTCGGGTTCGTCCCTGACTGCCCAGTGGCTTGTGCGAGGCCATGTATCACTTTCTTGTTCATGGCGTTCTACTACCTTCAGAGGGAGTTGGTCGATCTCTGGTCGCCGTGGAAGCTGGCTAGGGCTCCGGTTGAACATGGCTGTTGACACTGAAAAATAACATAGCGTGACAGCAAAAATATATATATATCGAATTATGTAATGGGCTCCACCATCACGTTTCTTTTGTAACTTTCCTTCTTGACTTTCTTTTCTTTTTGTCTTCTTTTGTCTCT